CTTCTTTTTTTAAACAGCTTAAACAGTCAAGTGAGTTTAGACTTAAAAAATACTAATGCTGTATTAGGAAAAAATACAACACCAAAACCAACCTTTGTATCAAGTTCTTGAGGATTTGCTGATTCTTACTTAGAGGCCATCTGTCAAAACAGGAATACTTGATTTTTCAAAATGCCCTTCTGTATCAACAGTTCCTTTACATTTTGCACAGCTGGGAAACAAAGATTCTAAAAAGACCCCTTTGCACTTAGTTATATATTTATACTTCCCATAGCCGTTATATTTTCTTTTTATTTGGTAATTAGGAGATTCCACACTTCCACGGGGGTAAAAATGTGAAGCTGTATTTAGTCATATAATTTCAGCCCTTCAGTATTTATCAGTACAGAAGAATGCTAACATATACCCAATTTTTATAGATGGATGCGATGGTATCTCTGACGGAGGTGGCTTTAACAGAACTAATGCTAGTAGTTACTGCTGCAAAAAGTCAACTTTTGCTAATAGCAGAAATAGCATTACCCTTCTCAACTACATATACTGTCATTCACATGCAATTAAGAGTGTATTTTTACACTGACTAAGCCATGATTTTCTGCAAGCATTTTGAGGCTGACCTTGGGGTTTGTACAGTACCTAGCACAGTGGGATCCTGGTGGTTCTTACATGTTTCCTCATTACACAGAATAGCAGGAATTTTGCTGTGAGCAGGTATCAAAGAGCTTAACTACAGAATAGGAAGGGTCATCTGGGGGTTGGAAATGGGAAAATAAACTACTTGGGATGGCATCCCAAAGGCATGATGAGTGTTAGGCATAACTCTATCCCTAAGTAACTACTGACCCAAAAGGGGTCAAAATGCCTTTGGCTGATTTTAAACTTTTCGCTGTACTCCACACCCGCTCCACACTGCTGAATGATGTCCCATGACAGATTTTTCTAACAGTTTCTTCGCTCTAAGAAGACGATAGGAGCATCACTATTTCCTTTGGAGAAACGCTACAGACTTACAAAATTCATTACTGTGCATTTTCATCCTGCTGTTTACCCTAGGCACCTCACAACTCTGACCGAAGCTTGATGCTTCTTCCATGATGATGATACAACGTTCTAGTTGTTCAACAGAGGAATTAATTCCCGCTCTCAGAAACAAAAGGAAAATGGTAATACTGAAAAAGAAATTTGTTACAGTGAATGCTCCAAAATAGCATTTGTCTCTTGCATATGAGCAAGCTTACCGTGTTTTAAAGGTATTGTGCTTTTATTTACTCTCTTTTAATAATAATATGCCAGCTGTCTGAAAGAGGTAGCACTGATTTTCAAATAATTTGTTGAACAGAAAAGAAATGGGGAAGTTTGTGCCAATCTTAATTATTTTTTGTTCTTGTTGATACCCATCGCATAAATCCACTGAGGTAAGATAGATGCTGAAACTTATCTCTCTCTGAACAAGACAGAGACACAATCTGTAGAGGTATAATTTTTGGTTGACAGCAGATTTTCAGTGCCTACTTTCAACTAAAATAGTAATATTACAAGTCCATATATGGATGTAATTCTATCATATAAACATCTATTGCTATAGATCAGTCCACTGAACTACCAAGAACAAGTAAAAAGCATCTTTATGTCGTGATATCTCATTCAACATTTTTACACCTGCATCGACTTTCTTCAAACCAACAAATTCAGAGCCATGTGAAAAGAAACACTCTTTTAGACGAGATGCTTATGTGACCCTGGAACCTACAGGCAGATATACACAATAACGAGTGGTGTGATTACAACATGAATAGGTATATTTAAGCTAATTCTCATCTTGATTGCACAGAAACAGTATTAATGGGGTCACGGCTGCAAGCACTTCAGCGTAAGTTTACCTCAGCCTTTCGCAATTTATTTGTGCAATTTGCCCACATCAAAGCCTGAATAATCATGGCTTAGCTCTTCTTGATGTTGAAAAAGTACATTAACACACATTCAGATATTCCAACACTTGCTGCACTCACGCTCCCAACTTGAGGGCAGAAGCAACTCGTGTGAAATGGCGACAAGCAGTAGCTACTTACCTACTCAGTCACGTGGGGGAGAACAACTTTATTTTTATACCTCAGTGTATTCTAGAGTCATGATCGTGAGGTTTGGGAAGCAAAATATTTATGACCTTTGCAGAAAAAGCAAGGATGAGTTTCCAATATGCATTTGCATCTTTAGAGAAGGAAACCTGAGAGCTCTGCTCCTGTGAGGTGTTGACTCCTTAGATTTCAATGTGGAGGTGGAGAGAAGGGACGTGCCTAATAGGCTGAGGAGGCAAAATCAAGAGAGAACTTTTTTGAGCAGGGGAGTAAAAGTAGGAAAGGGTGACAGGATGGAAAGGTAAAAAAAAAAATAAAAAAAAAAAGCAATGAATAAATCAAGAAGATAAACCAAGCACACTGGAATAGCAGCTATCGTTCTGGTGCCTCTCCTATGGGCTACGCCTTCAGCTGATGCCCCAAACCGAGACACTGCACAGTTCAAACTTGCTTAAAATATTAAATGCCGTTTTCATCGTACAAGAAAACCACCGCGGAAGTCGCAGCGAGGCCGGG